CTGTCTGATTTCAGCTCCACTCTTTTGGCCAACAGTTCCTCTTTTGCTTTCTTACTCTGTAGCTCTAAGAAAGGGAATGAGAGAAACATCAAAATATGCATCATATGAGAAGTGCCATTGTTATATTCTCACCCTCATGCCTTTCCAAATCCCTATGGCAGGGGTGTCTTATCCTTCTCCTGCAAGGCCACTATCCTGCAGAGTTTAGCTCCAATCCTGACCAACCCCATAAAGTCAATTATATCATATTTAATACGTAAATTTCTAAGGCCTCTAAATGATCAATCCTTTGCTGAAAAACTTCTTGTTAGGGGTAGGCAATATGGCAAAAATATCAGATCACAAGTTGATCACAGTGATTTTTCAATTTTTTTCAGAAAAATCACGATTTTATCATGATTCTTTGTCATGTTGGTTTTACTATTTTGCAAGTTGTCTGAGCAGTACAGCCAAACTATTTCCCTATTTTAAAAACAAAGCCTTACAAATTAACAAAATATAAAATAAAAACAATGGCAGGCATTTAAACCAAAGTGGGTGAAGAAGAAAAAAATCATTGTCATTATATTATCTTTGTTTAGGGTTGCAAAAAGGTGGAAAATTTCCAGTAAATTTCGGAAACATTCCAGAAATTTTGGAAAGTTTCCAGGACTTTTTTTGGGAATATTTCTGGGATTTTTGTAAAGTTTCCGGAAATTGTCCACCCCTTTGCAACCCTATCTTTGTTATTAAAAAATAAGAACAAAGATACACATTACAAATACAGATAATATACAAATAAAACAAATAGTGCTTTTTTCAGGTACAGGAGGTGTAATTAGCAGTAGCATTCAATAAACTGAATGAACAAATATAAAAATAAAACACCACATACACTTCACTGTATAAATGATACATTTGACTCTTATTAAAGCAACTGTATTGAAGTTCTTCAGTCAAGAGCAGTCAGTGATTTTTCTCTGTTTTGTTGCTTTATTAACATTAAAGGGATAGTTCACCCAAAAACACCTTGTGTGTTTTTGACAGTATTAACACAATCAGACCCATGCAAATAATGTACCTTTGTGATTGTGAATAAGTGCAGTGTCCCATGAGTGTAACTCTACCGCTGAGTAACATTTGATGTGAATGTATGTGGATTTGTACAACATTATTGAGACAGAGGCGCCAGAACTGCAACTGACAGAATGGGCACCATAGCACGCACAAATCCAGATACTACGATATTTCTTCAAAAGCAGATCATGAAGACATTTTAATCATCCACGATCACAAATCGTGATATCGCACACCCCTACAGAATCTACTACATATCTTGTGTCATCTGATTGATAGTTCAAAACTTTTCAGCAAGTAAAAAGGCCATTTAGTATAATTGTACAAACGTCCCCCTTCAGGTTGTGTTTCACGTGTCTATATGCTGTGAAATCTTTATTGATTCTTATAAGCATAAGAAAAACCTTTCTATTGTTATTATTTCAAGATGAACACTTAATGTTAGGTGCAGAAAATGCATTTTGCAGTAAATATCAAACACAGGCCATTTCGCTCTGCATGTTACTTGCAAAAAAAACTGATCTTACAGATGTGGAAAGCAGATTCTGTCCCTACTTTTGAGATGTGGGCAAGGGAACTGGGAAATATGTTACATTTGGAAGAACTGAGATTTATATTAAAAGAGAAATTATCCATTTTCATCAAGATCTGGAAACCAATAAGACTGTTCTTACAGGCAGATTGAATATATTGGATTACATCTCTTTTAATCAAACTGTCTGAATATACACTATTTGGATAGCTGTTGTTGCCGTCCATCAGGATAAAAGATTGTATATTAACACGCTGTTGCTCATGTACTCCTGATTTTAAAGCACTTGAAGTAACCTTTACTCCTTTTTTTTGGGTGGGGGGTTCTAAAATAAAGCTTTAATGTTCTTGGCTCAAAAGTCATGTATTGTACAGTGTTACAGCTAAGGGTGCTCGATGTCGTATTTTTCCTGTATAGTAGCTATTTTGTGACATTGTGTGTGTTGTTTCAAGAAAATAAAAAAAAAAAGATGAAAACTTAATGGACTGAACCAACTTGGGTTTACTTGATTATCAATAAATAATTTTAGGAGGAAAAAGTGTTATTTGTTCATCTTTCAAACATCATTGTCTTGCATTGCATTATATGTTTTGCCCCCACAATATTATTGGATGACTGGGGATCCTAAAAAGTACAACGATTATCCAATTTTTTTGGGAAGTTGTTGTACCCTGCGTAAGCAAAGTCAGTAGGCTTTAATCCAATGCGATAACATTAGAGCCCGACCGATATGGGTTTTTTGGGACCGATACCGATATTAGGGAGTAAAAAAAATGGCAGATACCGATATATCGGCCGATATTCTTTGTGTATATTATAGTACAGTACCAGTCAAAAGGCAAAACGATATATCGGTCGGGCTCTAGATAACATAACTAGAAAATACAGTCCCGGTCAAAATAACTGGAAACTGGAACACAGAGTTAAAATGACTTTCTGGTTGAAAAATGTGTACAAACAGTCGGTTACTTTAAAGCTAAATATGACATTTTATGTGGTTTAGGTCAATCCTGATGTGGCATGCCTAAATATAAGTCATATGGACTGCTTTTATGGTGCTTTTAAGGTAATTATCTTGACAGCATCCATCCCATTTCATTTTATTTATATGGAAAAGAGCAATCTTTTTGTAGTCTTACAGGCTGACAATGGCATGACAGTAAGTAAACAATGACTTGGATGGACTATGCATTTCAGGAGATATTATATACAGCTAAACCAGGTTTAAAAAAAAAAAGAGCACCTTTTTTCTTTTGCTCCACGGTCTGTTTTTTCAAGAAGGCCTGCACCGCAGCTGAATTAACTCCTTTGACTTTGACATCTTTCGATGGTGGACCGGTTTTCAAGCTATACCGCTTCTAAAAAAGGACATACATGATTGAGAACCACAGCAATGCAAACATGTGAAATTACATAAACCTTAAATGACATACAAAGCTTTTTTTTCTCAATACATGGGCAAAATGAACTAATACTGCCCTAAATCACGATATACCGACATGTTACAGCAGTGAAACCTTTGACATTTGAATTAATCAAACTACAAGCAGTTGAATCTACCTCGAGTACACATTGAAATCTACTATATTACAGAACATAAATTATGTTGCATTATTTATTTGTTGTATGATGATGTTCATTATTTTTTCACGGGCATTTCTCTTACATACCGGTACGTTGCTGAGGCCTTGGTTTTGGGTGGCGATGGACAGCACGCTGTCGAAATCCATGATCCCTAACTGTCTACAGCTCACGTATGTAGCTAATAGCGATAGCTACCACTCACCAACTGACAAACACTAACCTCAGGGAGCTTTTGTGCCCGTAAACACAGTCTGTAAATCAACTGAAACCAGTCCTGATGTTAAAACCAGACGAGTATTGGAGGAAGGAGAAGCAAACCACAGAGGAAACACTCGATCAAATCACCTCCCTTCAGCTGCTGTTCGCAATAGCTGCTCAGCTGCTGTGCATTTAAACCCTTAAACTACGGCGAGCCTGCCAGATTAATACAAAACGTTTCGTTATGTATTCGTTCAGTGACACCGGATCAGCTTCCCTAAACTGTCACTGAACGACATGAAACAGTGAAGCTATTAAAACACCGCAAAGATGGAAAATCCTCGTTAGATCTGCGCTCGAGAAGCAACTACAAACCCACGACGTCATCCGGTGCTTGTTCACACGTCACTTCCGGTTGCTTAAGACACGCGTTTTCTTCTTCTGCGCCATCTTCGTTCATAACGTTTAATCACATTACATAAGACCTAAAACTGTAGATATTTAGTAGATAATGCAGATAATAGTAGATAGGGTACTAAGCATAATAACACAAGTAGAATTGTATCTTTCTCAGTTAAGACACATGATTTTCACTTGTTCTTTTTTTTTTTTTACTTTTTCTTTTTTTATAGACTGCAAATAGGATTTTTAAATGCAAATATATTACTTGGAAAATAAGCTAAGCTAAGTATAATATATATGTGTGTGTGTGTGTGTGTGTGTGTGTGTGTGAGAGAGAGAGTGTGTGTGTGTGTGTGT